TTACATATTTTTTTATTTTGTAATTTTTTCATCTCAGTTGTAATCCCTGTGGACTCCCCATCACCAGTTCACCCATGTGTCATCACCATAGTCCCCTGCTCTCTTTCCAGCCCAGTTTTGATACTGTTCCCCTCTACACCACCGTAGAATGCCTCTGGTTCATAGTTGTTTGTTGATTTTCATTTTTACTTCACTACAATTGCTTTTATTTTTCTGATCTCTTCCACCCCTGCTATGAGTGAAACCATCTGGTATTTTTCTTTTTCTATCTGGCTTATTTCACTAAGCATGATCCCTTCCAGGTCCATTCATGTTGCCACAAATGGCATGAATTTATCTTTTTGATTTTCAAAAGTTAAAAAAAAGAACTTAAAATTTCATCTGATATATTTTAGAAATTTATTGAGTTACAACTTTCATACAGTGAACTGTACATATTTAAAATGTCTAGTATAGTCCACTGAGTATATATATCACAATTGTTTTATCTACTTGTCCACTCTTGGATACTTTTGCTAGTTTTGTACTTGGCTATTGTAAATAGTGTTGCCATTAACACAGGAGCACATACTCCTTGAATTAGTAATTTTGTATTTCTTGGGTGGATAACCAGAATTGCAAATACTGGATCACATGTTACTTATATTTTTAATGCTCTGAGAAAAGTCTATACTGTTTCTATAGAAGCTGGACAAGGATACATTCCCTTATATACAAGGATTTCCCCCCCACATCCTTGTCAAGACTTGTTTCTGGTTTTTTTGACATGAATAATTCTCAGTGTTTATGGTAGTACCTCACTATGGTCTTGATTTGTATTTCTGTGATTATATGTTCTAATGTGTGTGTTGGCTATCTGTATGTTATCTGTAACATACAGTTATCTAGATCTTCTTTCCTTTTTTATTGTATTATTTGTTTTCTTATTAATTCTGGGAAGTCTGTAGATTTTGGATATAAACCTCTTATTGGATATTGGGTGTATAAAAATTTTCTCCCACTTGATAATGTATCATTTTGTTTTGATGATAGTTTCTTTGGTTGTCCAGAAGCTTTTTTTTGCATTTGCTTATTTGCTTTTGCTTTCTTTGCTCTGTAATTGAGTTCCCAAAGATCTCCCTGAAGTCAATTTATGGATTGTTTGGCCTGTTTTCATCTATGTATTTCACAGCTTAAGGGGTTACACCTAAATCTTTAATACATTTTGAATTAATTTTTGTGTATAAGAAAGTAACCTAGTTTTTTAGCATGTGGCTGTCCAGTTTTCTCAACACCATTTTTTTTAAAGATTTATTTATTTATGCATACAGACTGGGGTACAGGCCAGAGATGAGGGGGCGATGAGAGAATTCACCTGAGACAGAGTGAGGAGCAGAACAGGCAGATCGACAAAGTACACTGCTGAGGGGAGCAGAGGGAGGGTCAGGAGAGGTCTGCCACGCCATGTGGTCACCTCCCGGGCAGGTGGGGATTGAACTCATGCGGAAGTGGCTTTAGCTTCTTAGTGCTGTGCTTTAACCCGCTTTGCCACCAGGGAGGGCTCCAACACCATTTTTAAAAGATAGTTTTCTTTCTCTACTGTATGCTCGTGGGTCCCTTATCACAAATTATTGTTTTTTATATGGTGGTGGTATCTGTTTCACATTTCCTAAATCACCGTTTAAATGCATAGTTTGCCTAGTAGGAAAGAATAATGTAACATTCTCATGTTTTTTTGTTGTTGTTGTCTATAATCACAGTCTTTGATGACCTCCTTCCTATAGTGTCACCTGGTGCTAGAGAGCAGTTTAACTACATTTTAATTTATCATAACTAATTCTAAATATTATAAAGATTAAAAATTCATTGGGGGACATTGGGAAAATGCTTGGTAATGGTTGAAACATTACCTTTTTATACTGGATGAATTCCTCAGACTTGACAGAAAAGTCTTTCTTGATGCTATTCATAGAGCACAGAGGAACTGAGCTGTCATTTTTTTCAGTAGGATATGTCATTGATTCCATCTGTTCATCAGCTTTTTTAATGTCCTTAAATCAAGAATATTTATATTACTCCTTGAATAATACTTTAAAAAAAACTCAAAGAAACTTAATTAAGCATTCCTCTAAACCTATTGCCTCTGCTACTAAAAATGGAAAATTCTTGTGCAGTTTTTACTGAAGATTTTGGGCTTGATAGAGAGCTTATAAGAGAAACACATATGTAAGTGTTATTGACTAACAACAGCTTACTGTGCCTTCTTATGATCTGCATAACTAACTGGAGAAAATTACAACTTAATACAAAATACAAAATGATTATTTCATTAGCAGAGGTTGATCTCAGCACAGGAGCTTTATGAAGCAGATGGTTAAAAGTTTATTCCAACTTTTTTCTGGAGATTATACATTTATAATATGTAGCTAGGCATTTAAATGTGAAGTTGGCCCTGGGTTTGACAGACTTTAGGAGAGAAGAATGCTTCCCAGACTTGCCCATTCCAAACTGATCAAAGGTCCAAATTGGTGGGACCAGTTTGTTTGGAATAAGAAATTCCAAAGAAGTTATATTAACCTTGAATTGCTTAATTCATAGGACAGGTGACATTCTAAATCAGATTGCACAATGTCTAGTTTTTGTTTTCTACAACTCTGAGAAGTTTTAGAATTTCAGACAAGTTTTAATGAAACAGAGGAGTTATATGTTCTCTGTACAATGCGTATGGTATGAGTAATTTTGTTACTTCCCCATGAAAAAATATGAGGAAGGGAAGAAGACAGAAATGAGCCCAATTAGGATGATGTCACCTCAGGGGAGTAGAAACGGGAAGGCATAAATGGATTTAGAAGTGCAAAGAAGATGATGCATATGGAAGGCTTCTCGGTGATATTGTGATTCTTTGAAAAGCTTAATAACTGTTAATCAGAAATTTCAAATCCAATTAACTTTAATCAGTCTTATACTATGCGACATCTTTAACCAGATATTCCTTTATACTATGGCTTTCTTTGTTTCCATACATTTCTTTACTGGGAACAAATCTTTTATTTCTCAGTTATGATTTCATTTTAACATGCCTATACTGGAATACATCTATAAATAATCATGCACATTATAGTAACTACATCATTAATTTCCATGGTTTAAAATTTTCTGAAAAGTTTGATCAGATAGACTGATGTTAAGAATACCAAAAAAAAAAAATTATTATTTCAACAATAATTCTAAACACTTTACCTGAATAAATTCATTTCATACTTACACTAATTCATTAATAGGTTACTATTATTTCCTACACCTTAAGGATTAGAAAACTGAGGTACAGATAATTTAAATAATTTGCTCAAAGTCCTAAGACTATGAATGATGGGCTTGGGGTTTCAACATGTGTAACTCCAATGTGACCTTAATCACTTTGTTTTGCTGTGCCTCAGAACTAATTCTTTTAGTATTAGCAGTATCACTTTGTAACACTTATAATCATCACAAATCCTCCTATTTTGATTCACTCAGGTAATAGAGTCCAGAGTTTTAGAATGCATTGCTGTTTGTGTGAATAGCATGTATGTTATGACTACTATACAACACCCAGGATATTACAATTGTCCACTGAGTATTAACATTTTAAATGGTATTATTCTTTATAGAATGAATAGTATTTTAGGTAATCAGAGAATCCATTTCTTATTTTTATACATTTATACTACAAACACACCATATTTTTTTGGTCTGTTCTATAAAACATTTTCACCTAGAACTTACTAAAAGGTTTTTACTTTAGTTATAATGAAAAATAAGTGTGCTACTTACAAAAAGATCTAGGCATACTAGTCTAAAAAATTCATAATAGGATGAGTTGGACCTAATCTACTGACTGAACAGTAATTTCCTTTTAGTAGTCATTTAAAAATACTCAATTTAGTAACTTCATAAATTAAATCTATTATAGGAAAACATTGTACAGATTCAACTGGCAATTCACTTAACTTTAAGGTTCAAAGGAAATTTTGCTTAATATGAAATACAACTGGAATTGGGGAGTTTTAAACTCAATATAGGATTACATTTTAAACTTTTTTTTTACACTATCATAGCTTTGCTATGTATGATATGCTCAGAAATACTTCATTCTACCATTGTGGAGAAAGCTAGGATTTACAATGTGAATTTGATGAGGAGATGGAAGCTCATTACATTCTAAATTCCTGATTAGTAAAGAAATACCATTAACATAAAAAATATAATCAGAAAGTTAGAGATGTAAAATAAACCTGAAATGTTGAGATTAAGCACTGAGATTTGTTAGTTCCCTTTTGAAAGAAGGTTGCCTTATAGGGCAAGAGAACAGGTTAGACTAGAATGAAGATAAGTAGAATCTAATCCTAATCACATATATTAATACGCTTTAATGAAAAAAAATCATGTCAAATCCACTAGGGGAAGTCATACCACAAGCAGAAATGTGTACCCTAAAAACCAGGAATTTCCAATGAGCCTCAAACACAAACATTACGACGTCTTCTCTTGTTCATACAACTTATAACATTTGTATTACTAATTCTGCATTTTGCCTCTGCCGCTAAGTTTTAAATCTTCATGTAGGAACCAAGTTTTTTTTTTAGTTTTCTAACCAAAAGATCACCATATATAACACTAGACTGTCCCACATTCATTATATAAAGCGTTGAAGCCTATTTGTATTGTGCCTAGCAAAATTAGGTGCTATGTAGTGTAAGTTCTTTAACTCTCATCATATTATCTAACATAATTCTGTGGATATTAAATACACTTAATTTATTTGCTGAGGATCTATAAATAAAATTTTATTGCTTTGTAAGTCTAAGATTATAACTTGGGACTTATGTTTCTAGTGTGGTATGATGTGTAAAAAGTATAGAAAAATCCTGCTAACATAAATTTATTATTATTGTTACTTTACATTTTAAAAGGACAGTTATTGCATAAAGGAGAAAAAGAGGCACCTGCATAGTTACAGGGACAGAACTTAACATAAATTTATGGCATATAAACATTACCTGTGACATTGCAAGTGAATAATATAGACCTTGTTTTGCCATTAAGTCAGCATGAGTTCCTTTTTCTACTACCATTCCATCTTTTATGGTCACAATAAGATCTGCACTTCGAATAGTGGAAAGTCTGTGTGCAACCACAATTGTAGTTCGACCTTTGCTTGCCTTCAGACAATAAGGACAGAAAATAAATATAATATTAGAAATAAAAAATGCTGAATACTCAAGAAAGCTTCTTGTACTATTATTTTAAATATCATATGATTTAAATATGAGAATATGACTGGCACCACATTTCTCTTGATTTTTTTTTTTTAGCTTGAACGGTTATGTCACCCTGCATGAACAGCTAAACTTAGTCTGTTTCATGAACAGATTAAGAAGTTTAATGATACAAGAATGCATTCCACTATTTCAATAAAACTCATAGTAAACTTGACATATATAATGATGGATATAACTTTCATAGTATTACATGCTAATTAAGCACAAAAGGTAAGAAATCTCAGACTATTAGAGGCATCATTTATAAAGGAAACTTGATTTTCAACAACTTACTTTAAAACATTTTTATTTATGCATTTTTGTACATTGTTTGATTTCTCAAGTGTAATCCCCAAGAAATTACCACCACCAAGACAAACGGCACTGTCACAATAGTATCTTCTGCTCTCCCCTCCCATGTTTTGCTCCCTCTCTCTTCTGAATGTCTCCAATGTGTATTTTCAACAAATTCTTCATTACTTGTGTTCTCTGGGTAGTGGCTCGATTTGAATTGCCAAGGAAGGGGTGGGGGTGTTCCCTTGTTTTCCATCCTGCTTTCCCACCTTCTTCCATTCCTCAGATAAATTCCTGGAAAAAACTTGTACTCTAAGAATACAGCCTGAAAATGTTTTACAACTCTTACAATTTTCTACCTGTTTCAGCTACCAACATTTAGCTGACTATCTACCATTAGAAAAACTTTATGGTAATTGTACAGAAAACACAGGATTTTCTGGTTTTTTAACTTTTTTTTAAGATGTACTTATTTATGTATATAAGAACTGGGGTACAGGCCAGAGGTGTGTGGGGTGAGAGGATTCAGAGACAAAGTGGGAAGCAGAACAGGCAGATCCACAAAGTACACTGCTGAGGGAAACAGCGGGTGAATCAGGAGTGGTATGCCGTACCATGTGGGCTACCTCCCTGGGTGGGAATTGAACTTGCATTGCAGTGGCTGTGGATAGCTTCACACTGTTGGGTTTTAACCCATTGTGCTACCAGGGAGGGCCCTTGTGTCTTAACTCTTAATTACCTCATTGTATAGATGAAAGTCAATTGGCTTGACATTCTAGGTTAATAGCATTCCTCTAGTTGAACAGCTGTTAGGTCATTGCATCTGTCTGAGAAAGCTTTTTTGCCCACACTCAACATGGTTGACAAATAGTAACATATCAGGCACTCCTCTTTAATCCCTCCTTTCAAATTGCAGGAATTATGTGACTATATAGCTATCTATGCTTAGGTTAAGCTTATTCAGAGAGGAAAACACATTCAAAATCTGCATTCTTTGTTGAGATGAGGCCACATGTATAGGAACATGGAGTAGCACACAATGTTTTCTTTTTCTATCCTTTTCCCACTTGTAAATAAATTACCAAACAAATTAACAGCTGTTGATAATAAATTTTTTAAGGTCATTTAATTGATACTTGAACTTTATTAATAAACCTATTATTTGTGAAGAAATTTAAAACAAAAGGTAAATGATGTGGGCAAGAAGAGATAATACTACAATAGCTTACTTTCTTTTGGGAGGGGATAATATTTTACACAGTCCAGAACTCTACCTACAAATAACACATTAGAGATATCTTGTCTAGTAGCAATTAGGAAGTAAAAAATTTTAATTTTCTTATCCCTTTTCCTGTTAACCTCAGAGTCTTCCCAGTGTTTATCCATGTCCACAGGTAAGTATTTTACTTTACTGAATGACCTGTTATGCAAATGTCCAGTATTTGCTTTTATAATTCTGATTTGCCGTATAATATATAATTCTCTAAATTCATTTTATCTTTCTTTATGGCTAGATAATATTCCATACAATAGATATACCAGATTTTGTGATCCATTTCTATCAGTGGGCACTAGTTACATTCATACCAATGGTGTGGTAGGGTTCTACTTTCTCTGCATCCTCTCAACAGTGCTTGTCACATTTATTTTTTAATATTTGCCATTTTCACTGGTGTGAGATGCTATCACACTGGGCTTTTAACTTTCCATGTCTTATTGGAAGACATGATGGATACTTCTTCATGTCTGATATTGTCATCTGGACATCCTCTTTGGTGGACTATCTGCTTATATTTGCTACATATTTATTGGACTGGTATTGTGTGTTTTAATATATCCTAGATATTAACCCTTTATCAGTTGTACATTATTATTTATTCAGTAGGATATATTTTTAATCTTCTCATATTTTCTTATACTGTGAAAAGCTTCAGTAATTCTAATTATCTTTATTTTTATTTCATTTGGCACATTGGTCCATTTTCCAAATACATCTTTATCCTTGATGTCTTGGCACAAACATACCATTAATGTTTTTTCTATATATTTTATTTATTTATTTTAAAGATTAATTTATTTATGCATACAGAACTGGGGTACAAGCCAGAGGTGCAGGGCGGTGAGAGGCTTCACCAGAAACAGAGCAGGGAGCAGAAAAGGTAGACTGATGAAGCACACTGCTGAGGGGAGCAGCAGGCAGGCCAGAGGAGGTCTGCCATACCATGTGGGTCACCTCCAGGGCCAGGGATCGAACTCGTACTAAAGGGGCTGTGGCCAGCCTGCAGTGCTGCATCCCAACCAGTTGTGCCACCAAGGAGGGCCCTTCATATATTTTATTGATGCAGGTCTTATATCTAAACCTTTAATCCATTTGGAGTTTATTTTTATGTGTGGAATTAGAGAGTGATCCAACTTCATTCTATTATGTATGGCTTTCTAATTTTTCCAGCAATGCTATTAAAGGGACTGTCCTTTCCCTATTTTGTGGACATGGCTGCTTTTCCAGAGATTAGGTACTGATATATGGATTTATTTCTGGAATTTTAATTCTCTTACATTAATCCATGTATCTTTTTTTTTAAAGATATATTTATTTATGCTACAGAAGTGGGGTACAGGCCAGAGGTGTGGTGGGTGAGAAGAGTTATCAGAGACAGAGTGGGGAGCAGAACAGGCAGATCTACTGAAATACACTGCTGAGGGGAGCAGCAGGTGAGTCAGGAGAGGCCTGCCACGCCATGTAGCTCAGCTCCCTGGTTGGGAATAGCACTGGTGCTGCAGTAGCTTCAGAGAGCTTCATAATGTGATGCTTTAACCCACTGCGCCACCAGGGAGAGCCCTATGTATCTATTTTTGTGTCAGTGACATAGTGTTTTTAGTATATATATTTTATAGTAAAGACATAGTGTTTTTAGTATATATATTTTATAGTAAAGTTGAAGTCAGGTAACATAATACCTCCATTTTTTCCTTTTTTCAGGATTGACTTTTCAATTTGAAGCCTTTTATGGTTCTGTATAACCTGATATATTTTTCTGTTCAATTACTTGGAAAAATATTGCTGGCATTTTGATAGGATTGTGTTAAATGTATACATTGCTTTATGCAAGATATTCACTTTTGTTATATTAGTTTTCCCCATTCATGAGCATAGGATAAACTCCCATCTCTATGTCATTCTTTAACCATATTGTTGGAATCCAGGAAAATCCCTACTTTACATAGGAGTGTTCCCTTTGTGGGAGAGGACAAAACCTAGTAATGACATAAATTTATAGCTACTAAAAATATATATGAATAAATTAAATAAAATGAATAAAAATAAAATGAACTATAAAAAAATTATAGCTACGTTTGAGGTACTTACCCATATACTGGAAAATGTTATATACTTCTATATGTTTTACTGTATTTTAAAGGGCTAAAATGTAATGTTAATAATCATAATTCATCTATGAAAGAAAAACCCATTAATTATATTACAAGAGGATCAAAATAAGCACAACAAAGAGATAAAATGATGCCTATTATAAGACTATAATGGGATATGGTGTGAGTTTTTTCCTAAAGTGACAATGTGGTTTTGTGTAGAGGTTAAGTTTTTTTTTTTAAATCCTGCTAAAATATGTAGAGCATAAAGTTTACCATTTTAGCCATTTTGTAGGGTAGGGTTTTCCTGGACCCAAGAGGTCATTTACTCCATGTATATTCTTTTATACTTAGGCATGTATTGCTATCATATTTTTGTGTATGGTAAAATTTTTACCACTTTTAAGTGTACAATTTAATGGTATTAACTACATTCCATACTGTTGTACACTGCAGTTCCAAAAGTTTTTCTTCATCCCATATAGAAACTGTGCCTATTAAAGCATAACTCCCCATTTACCTTTTCTCAGCATCTTGTAGACTGTATTCCACTTTCTGTTTATGAATTTGACTATTTTAGGTATTTTATATATATATATATGTTTAGACATTTTTCATTTTTTTAAGTTCACTTAGCCTAATGTAATCTAGGATAACACATGTAATAGCATGGGTTTATTTTTTATTTTTTAAAGACTGAGTACTATTCCATTGTATGTACATATCATACTTTGCTTATCCTTCATCAAAGGTTGATGGGCATTTGGATTATCTTTATCTTTTGACTATTGTGAGTGATGCTGCTGCAAATACTGATGTACAACTATCCAGTTAGGTCCTTGCTTTCAATTTTTCTGGTATAAACTAAGAAGTGGAATTGCTGGATCATATGGCAATTCTGTTTTTAAAAGAGTATAGTTTCAAAGGTATAAGATTATATTTAGCTTCAGTCCCTAGCAGGTGTATAATGTTGAGGCAACATAGCACAGTGGTTATGTCAATGTGGTAGAGGGTCAACGGTATGGATCCAATTTCTGGCTTCACTGTTACTAGTGGTTATTCAACCTCCCTATGACTCAGTGTGCACATATGTAGATGTGAGATGTAGAATAAGTAGGGGAATAAAAATATATTTCTCACTGGGTTTTGGGTTAAGAATCAGTTACTATCATTCCTTTATTATATGTAAATAATTTATAAATGGCTACAAAAGTGAGTCTGATTAAGTGAGTTAATAAAATGTTCCATAATACTTTTGGGATAAAGTGGTCTGTGTATCTCCACTCAAGGAAATCCCCTTGCAGAAACCCCTTTTCTGTTATACACACAATTATTGTATGGTTAAAACTGGTTAAGAAAAAGCAAGAAAAAAACAAATCTCTAGTTCCATAAATAAATAAAGGGTGTGTTATTTAACTACCAATCACAGTAAAATGTGTGTGTGTGTGTGTGTGTGTACTAATTAATCTAATTTCAACTTTAGATAACTACTTCTTAGCGCCTAATTTATTAAAATAGTCCATAACTTAATGTAATATACCTATTTTCTTACTATTCAGTTCTCTAAGTAGTATAATTATAAGGGGCCTGGGAGGAAAACTAACAGTGTATCATAGATAGAAAGAACAGTGATGATAAAGAAAAATCCATGAGGACTGCAATAAAGCAGTACTGTTTCTTCAAGGAATAAAACTATGATGGAAACCCTTCCCTCATAATTAGGAAAGGGCCCTTTTAAAAGTTCCCCATTGATGTGTTATAGCTGAATGTCATTAGTAATAATTATTCCTTAGATTTGCATACTACTTTTAATATTTCAAAGAACTTACACAGACTATCACAGAATCAGTGTGGGTTTCCCTCTGCTTCCCCAGGGGCTGCAGGTGTTTACTGCCATGCCTCCTTGTAATGGGATGGCTTGGGAACATACTGCATTGGAATGCCAACGGCAAGCCTGAGTGGAAATCCATAGCTTATGGCATAAACCTTTATCCACTCACTCTTCCTCTTGAATAAAATTAGTGAAGCAACATTTGTTTGTAGTAAGCCTATTTAAGAAATCCGAAATAGTACTTCAGACTTGGTAACAATTCTGTGTCATACTTATCTAAAATCCACTTAACAAATCTTTACTGACTGTCTAGGGTTAAGTATCATTCTAGTGCTGGGGATGCTGAAGCTCACTAACCAAACACTGTCATCAGAGAGCTGACATTCCAGAGAGGTATGAGATATCAACACAATAAACAAATATATATGCATATGTTAGCTGATAAAAAATGTTATGAATGGATGGTTGAAAACATTCAGTGTGGGTAGGGAATTGTGTGATACAAGGTTCCAGAAGGAGTTTGGCACACAACTCTTTAAAATTGTTCAGCTTACTGTAAGTCATTTGGTTTATACTTAGAATATTGAGCTAGGGACTGTTTGGAGGATTTGAAGCAGAAAATGAAATGATCAAATTTGTTTTTAATGGCAACACCTGATTGCTGTTTTGAGCCCTGATTGGAGAGGGCATGGCTTGAAGAAGGAATTTACTGAATAATATACATGAGAACAAGAGTGATAGTTCTTTCATATCCCTTTTTACTGAAAACCCATCCCTTGTCCCGGGAAAATACTGATTGAATATTTTATTACTATGGATTAGTTTTACTATTCTAGAACTTCACTTAAAAGGAAGACAATGGGACAATAGAGAGGAGGCATTGGGAGAAATATGTGAGGGTAGGGTATAGAGGGAAATGCATGGAGCATTCACACAAGAGAAGGAATACTTTTTATTGCATCCTCTTTGATTGGTCAGTGAATGTCATTATTTATATTTGTATTTTGAGATAAAATTTGGTGACTGTTACAGATCAGGCTGTACTATGCAGCAGGGGCTTGTGTTGGGTCCTTTGCCTGGACAGACCTCCCCACCTCCCCCACAGAATCATATGCACACTGTTGTGTGGAAACAAAGAATGAGCCATGGGTGCTGGAACAGAAAAACAGGAGGCAGGAAGTGTTCCTGCCTTGTGTTTGCTACCTTGTGTTCTTTGACCCCCATGTTATTGTCGCATGTTATTGATGCACTTGCTGAGAGCTTCCTCCTACCTGCCCAGCCCCACCAGGCTGAAGGGGGTAAATAGGGAAGGAGAGAAGAATAAAGTGTGCCTTTGCTTGCTAACCAAGAAGTGTGTGTTTTAATCCTGATGTCCTTCGCTCAGACCATCTCTGCTGTCGTGCTGGTGCGGCAGGCTTGGGAGTTCTTAGTGCAAATAAGACCTGTTCTATGCCCTCCCCTCTTTAGTTAGGGACTTCTCTAAGAGCTTGATTCCACAACTACAGTATGTGGTGGATGTAGAGGAATCTCGTGGTGATAACAGTTTCATTACTATTTTTGTATTTTAATTTTCCTCTCCACCATGAGTCATATTCTGATAAACTGAAGTTTATATGATTAATCCAGGTTATTGTCACCCAATTTACCATTTATACTCATCCTAGAATATACCAGCAGACCTTACTTAAAGCGGTTTCTTAAATATATATCCCTGCAAGGTTGATTTAATCTTCTTTCCTCTTTAAAAACTGGAAAAAGTAAATAAATTTAAAACAATCCTTAAATCTCCTACAATTCCACTACCTAACTACTATCATTTTCATGCATTGTTCCTTCATTTATGTCCACATGTACACATGCCTATTTTGTAAAAATTAGAGTAATAGTTTACAAATGATTTGTATTCTTCCTTCATTTATGATACAGATTCCATTTTCATCAGTAGTGGAAAAAATTTTACTAGTTATTATGTTGCCAAGCAACAGTTTATTTTAAAAGCTTGAGCTAGGTCTGGTTGCCTAAAGTGATTAACATATCATATGAAAGGACAATTGGGTATAGCATTTAACTTCTATGCAATTCTAGAGTCTCTTACAAAAAGCTTTAAAAGATTTTTATGAAACTTAAGAGATGGATATATTAAGTATAATACTTTTTGGTATATTCAAGACCTAATTAACTAAACATCATAATTATTAAACACAATTTATTGAGTATAATGTACTCAATTAGTTATTAAATATAAGAAAATGAATAAAGCATCAGTCCTTGTCATGAGGGAATATCTCTTTTCTAGCAACCAAATTGGCAAATATTTTTCTTACCAATAGTTTATTTTACAGAAATAAGAAATGTGAGCAATATGTGGCACTCATGGGATAGAAACAAGGGTAGAAACTTATATAATCTGATTTACAAATTGATAATAGTAACTATTAGGTTTTCAATAACCAGGAGTATTTTGACTGCCAGTGTTTATTTCTGATTGCTCAAAGTCAATATTTAAGAAGGAAGGCCTCTAACTTTTTTTAAGAGAGAAAAATATTTTACATATTTTCAAACAAACTCAAAATAAAATGTCCTATTAAATCTTCTGAAGGGCTTGAAGCCATGATTTAAAAGAATTTTGCCACTGAAAAAAGTATTTAATTTTTTTGTCGCTACTACTTTTTTAAATGCAGTGCAATTTGGAACAGACCATGAAGTAAGTGCAGCATGTTATAGTGAGGAGAAGGTCAGAGCAATGTTTGAGGGTTCAGGGCTGTTGAAGAAGGATGGTTCAAAGTAAGGGCAAACCACATGAATGTTTTTCCACTTGAGATAGAATGAAGTTAAAATGACTACTCTCTGATCACCCTAAAAGGAAAAGTGGTCAGGGAAGAGAATCCCTGAGGTGTACCTGGAAGAGGCAAAGCGTGGATGTGACTTCAGCCATGCTGGAGGTTTCAGGGGAGTGGAAAGTAAACACAACTGGAATGAGAGTATATATAGCATGACTGCTTGGATATCAGTTTCATATATATTTTTAGCACCAAGTCTCTTCCAAATCATTTCCTCTAAATATTGAACAAGGTTTTTACAAGGATAAACACCCTCTATCCATTATCTTGAGATTCTAAACTTAGTACTTTTCCATAGAGCCATACTTTCTTGTATTTTAAAATTATGCTAAACCAGGAACACTGAAGTAAGAAATACAACCACTTACCTTCTCCAATGCTGCTTGAACAAGTGATTCACTTTCTGTATCTAGGGCAGATGTAGCTTCATCTAAGATCAGAATCTTGGGGTTCCGAACTAAAGCTCTAGCAATTGCGATTCTTTGCTTCTGTCCTCCACTCATTTGAACTCCTTTTTCCCCAACCAAGGTATTAAATTTCTAATGATAAATAGAAAAGAGTACAGAGACAGAAAGGAGCATGATCAAATGATTAGAAGAAAAAAACATTAATTACATTTGTGTCTTGATGTCAGATTACTAACTACTTCAAACTGACTGATTTTAACCTTTGATTTGTTTTTCATAAAACCAAACAAATATATATGTATATATATATGTATATATACATATATGTATATATACATATATATACATATATACACATATATATACATATACACACACACACACACACACACAAGAATCTAGTGAAGAAAGGACTAACAAAATTAAAATCTGTTTAGGCCTAAAAGAAACTAAGACATGTGATAACTAAGAGTTTATAGAAAAAATAATGATAATTTGAAGCAATTTTTGAAGCTTTAAGACAATTTTAGGATGCACTCATATCTTTAAAAGAACCATGCTTACACAAATACATAACTATAACTTGAAATGTTTATTGATAATTTAACATAATTTCCACATGTGCATAATTTCCACATTTGAAAACTAGGATGTAAAAAAATGCTGCAAGACTTTTTCAATCTTGGGAGTCTTTTAGGTCTTTGGCTTTCTTGGATATATGCATCTTTAACAAATGAGATATAGCAGATACTTTTTCTAGAATTTCATATGATGGAGTCATAGTACTTTTTTAAAAAGGTCACTTTTTAGAGCAGTTCTAGGTTCAGAGCAAAATTCAAAGAAAAATAGGAAGTTCCCATATACCCCTCTTCCCTCACATGAATAGTTATCATTATCAACATCCCCTGCCAAAGTGGTACATTTGTTATAACTGAACCTAGAATGACAGATCATAATCACTCTTAAATCTATAGTTTACATTAGTTATCCCTCTCAGGGTGGATATTACGTGGATATGGACAAATGTATAATGATATGTAGATCACTGATATCAATGATGTATAATGGTACAAATTTATCATTACATTATAGAAATATTACACTATCATACAGAGCATTCTTGTAATAAACATCCTCTGTGCTCTACCTACTAGTTTTTCCACTAGTCTTTTTAATTAGCTCCATAGTATAAACTTCTCCACAATCTCAGGACTTAGAATGAGAAAATCTAATTCTCAGTTGGAATCCTACAGTGTGAACCTTTTCAGACTGGCTTGTTTTCACTTAATAATATGCATTTAAAATTCCTCTATGTCTTCAGTTCTTTTTTTAGCATTGAATAATATTCCATTGTTTGATTTCACAAATAACACATTTATCCATTTACCTAGTAAAGGGCATTTTGGTTTCTTTCAACCTTTGTTAATTATGAATAAAGCTGCATTATACACCCATGTTTTGGTTTTTGTGTTGACATAAGTTTTCAGCTGCTGTGCTGTGGCATAGTTAAAGGAGCATATGGTACAAAAGTAAGAAATTATCAAACTGTCTTACAAAATGGCTGTACCATTTTACATTCTCATCAGCAGTGAATGAGAATTCTTGTTGCTCTACAGTCTCATCAGTGTTCCTTGATTTGGTCATTCCAATAGGAGAGTGCAGTGGTATGTTATTGTTATTTTTGCATATATTTATCTGATAAACATATGATAAGTAATATCTTTTCATTTTCTTATTTGCCCTCTGAATATCTTCTTTGGTGAGGTGTCTGTTAACATTTTTGACTTTTTTTCCTAATTGGATTGTTTGTTTCAAGAGCCCTCTATACATTTTGGATTCTAGTCCTTTACCAGAGATGTCTCCTTGTCTTTTCATTCTTTTCATATTGTCTTCCACAGAACAGTTTTTAATTTTGATGAAATATAGCTTATTAATTACTTCTTTGATGGTCTGTACCTTTGGTACAGTATCTAAAAAACCATTGCTATACCTAACATAATCTAAATTTTCTCTTATTTTCTAGGAGCTTTATAATTTTGTTATTTTATGTTTAGGCCTATGACCTGTTTTTTAATTTTTGAGAATGGTATAAGGTCTGTGTCAAGATTTTTGTTTTGCACATATTTGTTCATTCATTTTAGCACCATTAATTGAAAAGACTATTGATGTTCCCTTGTAATGTGTTTGTGTATTTGCTAAGTATCTGTTGATTATATTCACACAGCTCTAGTTCAGGACATTCTATTAGTCAGTAGGTGATTCTGTTGTTGTGTGAATGTCATAAGGGAGTAATTACATAAACTTCTATGGTATAGCTAAATACCTGTATGGAATAGTCCATTGGGACTAGCATCTCTCTGACCCATAGTTCACTGAACTTTATTATGCTATTATAATTTTCTTAATTGTTGTCTTAAAATTAGATATCATAGGTCTTCCAGTTTTATTGTTTTTTCTCAAAATTGTTTTGGTTATTCTTGGTCTTTTACCTTTCCAAATAAATTTTGGAATTAGCATGTCAATTTCTGACACACACATGCACACACATACACACTTAAAGTACCATGTACTAGAGTATGGTTTACTCACAAAAGATTGTTAGTATCAAATTTATATATCAATTTGAGAAGAATGCATGTCTTCATGAATACTGACCCTTACCAATAAAATGTCTCATACATTTTACCCATTTTTATTCATATCTTCATGAATACTGACTTTTACCAATAATATGGTTAGAACTTTAACTTTTCTCAATGGTATTTTATATATTTCATATAGAAGATTTATATTCTTATACAATTTATTATTAACTATTTGGGGGGGTTCTCTTTTTTTTTTGGTCTTTTAAAAAATTTTATTTCATCCATAACTATTATTAGTTACCACTGGGTCCCATTCTGAGACCCAGTTGATTTTTAGTTATCTATTTCTTTTTCAGTGAGTTTTGGTAATTTGTATCTTTCAAGGCATTGACTCTTATTTAAGCTGTCAAATCAATAAATATAGCATTGTTCACAGTATTTCTAACTTTTTAATGACTTTGGGATAGTTATGTACCTTCTTTTATTCCTCATAATTGTAATTTCTCTCTCCCTCTTTTTTTATGTCAGCCTTTGCTAAAGTTTACTGATTTATCTTTTCAAATACCTAGCTTTTGGCTTCTAATTATTGTTTCTAATGTTTTTCAGTTTTCAATTTCACCTCTTAATTTCTATTTTTGCTTGCCTTGTGTTTTGCTTGTTCTTATTCTGCTCTGGCTTCTCAAGATGTAAACACAGCTTACAGATTTCAGGTCATTTTTCTTTTGTAAAATAAGCATATGATGTTAAAGGTTTTTCTTACAGCAGTGCTTTAAGTATTCTATGAATAGTGATATGTTGCATTGCATTCATTTTATTTTTTCAAAATAGTTTTAATTTTCCTTCAGGGTTCTTTTTTGAGTCATAAATTATTTAGACGTGTGCTATGTAACTTCCAAATATTTGTGAATTTTCCAGATATATTTGTTATTGATTTCAATAGCTTATTATGGTTTGAGAATATATTTTATATTTCTTATTTGTTGAAATTGCAGTTGTTTTAAGTGAAGTAGAATATTGTTTATCTCAGTGATCACCCCATATGGACTTGAGAAGTATTTGGCTATTATTGGTTGCAGTGTTTTATAACTATTATTTAGATTAACTGGTTGACAGTATTGTTCAGGCAATACTAGCAATACATCCTTGCTGATTTTCTGTTTACCTGATATGTAAAGTAGGAAAGACATAGGAAGTTTCAATCTATCAGTTTTTTGCTTCATGCATTTTGAAGCTTTTAAGGACATAAATATTTAGGATTGTTTTCTTGTCTATAGGTCATATAATTCTGTTTCTCTGATTTTTTTTGTATGTCTAGTTATTATAGAACATATTCTGAGTACTAGGCATAATATGCCAGAAAAACTCTGAATTTTATTTTCTTCTTAAAATGTTGATTTGTATTCTAGTTGGCAATTCAAATGCTGAATAATCACCCTCAACTGAATAACCTTGGTTTTATGCTTTCTTGCTGTGAATCTGTAGAAAGTCTTAAAACTTGGCAGAACCCACTTCCAAATTCTCCTCTGGGGATCTTGTCTTGGCTTGGTTTTAGGCTTTGTCAGGGCGGGCCCAGAGTCAGTCAGCTTTTCTTTGAGGTGTGGTCTTTATTCCTAAGGGTGGTGTGTATGTGTGTGTGTGTGTGTGTGAGAGAGAGAGAGAGAGAGAGAGAGAGAGAAAGAAAAAGAGAAAAAGTGCTTAAGCTAAATGCCTGAAGCTTTTAAAAAAAGGGTGTTAAGGTGACCTCACTACTCTGAGCTTTCAACATTCTTTTACACTGCTCCACTTCTAATAGCTCTGTTCTACTCTCAGCTTTGTAGCTTCTGTTCCTGTTAGGCTTTGGGTATTCTTTTCTCAAAGACTCCCAAAGGATGGTCTTCTGTTCCCCACCTCAACTCATAGCTCTCTCATTACTTCTTCAGTTGCTCTAACTGCCCTGAAATCTGATCTCCGCTTTATAGATCAGTAGAACTGTCATATTTTGTCTGGATTCCAAAGGACATGTGGTCAGAAACTTGTTCCAATATAGAATGCTGCAAATTAAAACAGATTTTCCTGTGATTCCTTCCTCTCAGGAATCATGGTCTTGAACTAATCATTCAATGCTTGGAAACAATCGTCCTATGTCTCATACATTTTACCCATTTTTATAATTTTTTTCTTTATGGAAAAAGGCTATCAAGTATCAGTTAATCTTACTATATTAATTTTAAGATAAGTGTATCATAGAAAAACTAATGGTATTTACTTTTGAACTTTTCCCATTTTTTCACCTATTTCTGAAACTTTTATTACATATTACACTTAATTCTTCTTTCTCTGATTGACCATGGCTGAAGTATTTAGTTTCCATCATGATAAACAAGTACCTTTTATTTGTTCTTTGGATTATATCTTCAGGATTTACTATTAGACTAACAGCAAGGGACATCTTTGAACTTTGAATAAAAGCAAGAAGTTATAGGGTATGATTTAGGAGTCACCAGAAAACTCCTTAGTTACAAATAGGAAACTAAAGATCATCTATATTTGGAGAAAAGGAAGATATTGAGAGTGATAAAGAAAGGAAGTGTGTGTTTTTACAAACTAGAAGACAAAGAATGATCTGAAGCCCTTAATGAATTTGCTGTCCTAATTATGATTCTAAATAATGGGGTTATGAGGTAATTACCCCCACTACAAGTTTTTTAATAAAATATGCAAAAGAAAACAAAATTATTATGACCCATGGTGTGTGATTTGTAAAATAGATCCATTAAAGTGAACTTTTTTGTTATTGTCACTTTATGGGATAGTGGCACTTAAATCTGTATTTTAATTTCAACTCTTTACTTTCATATTTTACCATAATCCCCAGAACCACTTCAGGTAGTAACTGATGAACAAATACTTAGAGAAATGTAAGTAAGTGGTAATACAGTTATCAATTCTAAAATACCCACTAGAATGTGATATATGTCCTCATACCAAGACATTTAGTCTATTGTATTCTCTTTCCAAGTACAATTTCACGTTTTTTTCTTTAAAATTACCTTCATGTGCTTTAAAAAACTATCAGTTTTACCTTAGCCGTCTCACAAAGCCAAACTGAACATTGTATATGATATTCCTTCTCTTAGCCACAAGATGTCCTCACAATTCAACATTTTGCAGACATTTCTCAGCTTGGAGTGATAATTCTGTCTCCTATTTCTTTGTTTTATTTTAACATATCTTTCTTGTTTTCTTTTCCATGTATAGTGATAAACACTAAGAACTAAATAGGATTTTTAAAAGCTAAGTTTTCAATGATGCATTTTCTCTTTTGCTTGTTATTATGTTCACTCACTGATGAGATAACTAATCATACTCCTTACTCTGTAGAAACTATGCTTTGTTGTTTTATTTTGAATACGCAGTACTTAATCTCTAAGTTAAGGACATAGGCTACATGATGTACTTACATTTGGGAATTCCATTATAAATTCATAAGCATTTGCTTCTTTTGCTGCTCTCTCAATCTCTTCATTGGTTACACCATCTCGTCCATATTTAATATTGTTGGTAATGGTGGTCCCAAATAAAACAGGCTCTTGGCTGACGACTCCAATATGTTCTCGATAATGCTGTACATTTAAAGATCTGATATCTGTCCCATCTATAGTGACCTGCCAATCCAAGGGAATCAATCATGTGTTATGTTTTGTAGTACTGGCTTTATAGTATATATATATATATATCACTAGTTTAATAAAACATAAGTTGAGAAGCAAGGTATTTCAGGAATCAAAGATTAACTGTATTTCGACAAATACTTATAGTATATGGACTTTTTTCTGGTAGACAGGACATAAGAAAACCTAAAAAAAGGATTACATCTTGTCAAAAAAACACCTAAATATCTTTGTTCTAGGATCCATAAATTAGGTATATTAAAGCTATTTACCCTAGGAGTTACAAGTATTTTCATGGAAACACATGCAAAATGCTTAAGTTTTGTTATTGTAAGACTGTAAGACCTTAAATTCTTTTATGAAGTAACCTTCCTTATTTCTATTTAGTACCCATTTCCCTGAAGAAGGCAAAAGTATCTTGTACTCATTTCTATGAATAATATTAAATGAATCCTGTCTTCTCCAAAGACAGACAGTATCATTAACCACTCCCCAACATATGCCAATGACAGAGGACAGGTTTGGTAATTATAACTCACAGAATCTCCCTTTCTCATCAGCTCTGGTAGTCTGTCTAGACCTGGGTATTTTATGTAACTGCTTTATATATGGAATGCATACCTAGTGTTTTTCAATATTATCATGGACACATAGGTCTGAAATACTCCAAATGAAGAGCTAAGAATTATAATTAGGTGAAATCAGGCTCTGGGAGAGTAGATTGCCTTTTAAAAATAATAGTTGGAATTTGGACAGTAGCATTAGGAATTATGTCCATGTAATGTGGAGAAAAAGGAACTCTCCTGCACTGCTGGTGGGAATGCAAACTAGTACAACCACTATGGAAAACTGTTTGGAGGTTCCTCAAACTGCTAAACATGGAGCTTCCCTACAACCCAGCAATCCTATTCCTAGGTATCTACCCAAAAGACACAAAAACAGTGATTGAAAAAGATACCTGCACCCCCATGTTTATTGCTGCTTTATTTACAATTGGAAAAACATGGAAGCAGCCCAAATGCCCAAAAGTAGATGACTGGATTAAGAAGATGTGGTACATATATACAATGGAATATTACTCAGCAACCAAAAAAGAGAAACACATGTCTTTTGCAGCAACTTGGATGGAGCTGGAAAAGATCATGCTTAGTGAGATAAGCCAAAAAGAGAAAGAAAAATACCGGATGGTTTCACTCATAGCAGGAGTATAATGGACCAGGCGAGAAAATAACAAAAATAATGAACAACCATATACCAGAGACATTTTGTGGGGGTGGAGCGGGGGATGGGATCAAAAACGGGGGGGGGGAGAGAAATGCACGGAATTACGGTGATGGCACACGGGTGATTTGGTGATGGGAAACCTGCGGGGATTACAATCGAGATGGAAAAAAAATGTACAAAATGATATAAAAATAAACTTTTGTAATAAAAAAAAAGAATTATGTCCATGTAACTATCATAATCTCACTCTCTCTGCATTTACAAGGGGAAAAAGTTAAGTGAAACATTATGGATGACCCAAAAGACGCATGTGAGCATTATTAGCATTTATCTGGGATGTTCTGAGAAACTGAAATATTTGATATGTTCTGGGTACTACATGTGACTATGTTGCTACTTTCCATAGCATTTATTTCCTTCTAACATACTATATAATTTATAATTTATTCATTATCTCTTCTTTTTATATGTAAGATTGATAAGGGCAGAAATTATTATGTTTTGTATACCAATGTATCCCGAGCACCTAAAACAGAGCCAGGTATATAGTAGATGCTCAATAAATATTGGCTAATATTTCTCTCCCAGCTTCACTGTTAACAATAAAAAGTTGACATAACTGTAAGCTTAACACAAGTTGGTATTTCCAAATCCTCTTGTATGGACTGTGCATGGTTCTGCTACCTGTACTTACACAGCCTTCATCTGGATCATACAGCCTCTGTAGAAGTTGGACTGCTGTACTCTTCCCACTGCCATTGGGACCAACCAAGGCTACGGTTTCTCCAGACTTAATTTTAAGATTCAAACCTTTCAGAATCTATTAGAATGTACAGGAAAGAAAGTTCATAAAATTAGGGTAAGTGATAATATGAATCACATATTTTCAGAAACTTAGAAGCAAAAAATGAATTATTTGGTGGTACTTAAAAACAAATTTAGTTGCTATTATGTTTGTACCATGTACATGTACAATAATAACCTAATAATATTAGTAAAAGACTCATGAACTTTCTATAAAGAGAAGTTGTAAATATTTAGAGCACTCATAGAACATTAGCTAGTCATAGCAAACTATTCACATTTTCAACAGAAATACTTTATATGAATTTCCTGACTAGCAAGTTAGTAAAAGTTGTATATTTTAATCAGTAATATTGAATGTAATTTTGCCAGATATCTGTATGAACAATTAAGGGAGTTCTTCTTAGAATATACTTAAAATTAACATTATTGTGAAATACACTTAGAAGTAAAATAACTGGTAAAACTCCTTAGGAATTACCTTGGATGGGATTCTACCAGCAGAAATTCTCTTTCTTTCATGCTGGATATCATGGGGCATTTTAACATGTGAGGGACACTTTTAAAATTTTCTGGATGTTGTTGCTGGCATTTACTACTACTAGGACTTGCAACATGAGAGAAACCTTACAAATTATTACACTTCCAAAATGATAATAACAATTTCCCTGAGAAACTCAACTTTCTCTGTCTATTTACATGTATATTCCACTCCATGAATTTTCTTACTCTGACTTCCCAAAAGTAAAGAAACAAATTCTCATATAAACCAAAAAGAAATCTTTCAAAGGGCTAAGGAGAGAAAAATCCCCTACAGGAGCAAGAAATAGAGGAAACTTCAGTAGGAGTGAGATCACTGCCACATGCATTGTTACCACAGAGTGGGGTTTCTATTTTTCCTTGGAATAATCTGTGCTTATTTATTTAAATTGGATGGATCTTTTATTTTTAATTACTCATTTGTCACCTTAACAAAAAACGTTGTTTCAAAAGTTCTTTCCCATGTAATTAAGTCATCAGTAAATTTAATTCCAAATGTAATTCCAAAATGGAGTTAAAAAACTCTATGTTAAGAAAAATGATGACAATACTACTCTATTAATGGTGATTAAGTAAAAAAAAAATATTTTAAAATAAAGACCTTTGAAGAGAGAATTTCAGAGTTATATTGCAGAAAGATAGGGAAAAAGGCATAATTAGGTACTTTTTTGATGTAAATCAGAAGGGGATATGTGGTCACTTTAAAAGACATTTCAGGCTCTCCCTGGGGGCCCAGCGGGTTAAAGCACAGCACTGAGAATCTAAAGCCGCTACC